TTTTTTTTTTTTTTTCCTGGATCTAGTTCGGTTACAACCACAAGCTTTAATAAACCAACACCAAGTTCAGCACAACTGTAAAGTGGAAGGAAAATATACATTGCTTATATATATATATATATATATATATATTCCCCTTTAGTCTTGGGATCGAACCAGTTTTCTGCATTAGTTTGAAGTTTTTTGGGCTAAATCCATATGAATTAGGGTCAATGACCTGGTGGCAGGTGAACCTCCTACTCAGGTTTATGTCATCTACAATCTACAAAAGGTTGCCTTCAACATTGCCCTGAAATTTTCCAACCCAGCCCGGACCCGTAGACATTGCGTCTGAGCCCAATCCGACCTGACTAAATAACTCCAATTAGAAGCCAGAGCCCAAAGTAAATATTTTAATATTTTTAACTGATAGCAGTTTTCAATACTTCCAGTCAGATTTTGCACTCTGCTGGCTTAGCAGTGTAATTTCTCTCGCTTTTAGGTTTTTGCTTATCATCATCCAGCTCCATTTTGATGCTTGTTGCAACCGCTGGATGAGTCGATTGCAGAGACTTGGATGTGTGACTGACAGGAGCAGAGCAGAGCAGAGCAAACGACACACTCCTCTATTTACACTTGAATAAGTAGGTTAGCATCACTTTTTACATTGAGCGTTCTAGTTTAGTTTTCTCTGTGCTTTGTCTACTATCGGCTTATTAAAAATGCACCAGAAAAGCCTAACCCTAATTTCAAGAAAGTAATGTTGACGCAATCCGTTTTCAGTCATAGATAAANCCTTAAAAACCATGTGTCATTTTCCTCCTTCCACGTCGGTGTACATTATCACATAAAATCCCTACAAATTAAATAAAAGGCTGAAACATGAGGTATGAATACTTTGCAAGGCTTGAAAGTAAAAAAAAAAAAAAGAAAAAGAAAAAGGATGCAACAGCATAATGTAAATGCATAATGTTAGGCTTAGAGGATAATGAAATAAACTCGAGACAAGAGTATTGATCCTAAGTGGACAACTTAATTATACGGAAGAAGATTGCACATCCGATAGCCAATAATTATTTTATCATCTGGCTGCAGCTGGTGGCATGGAGGGGTCCGGGTTCATGAATGGGAAAAAAAGAGAATGAAAACTAAAAATTAAAATCTCTCCTGTTGAAGGAGTGACACACAGCTTTCCACCCAGAAGCAGACACACACACACACATATATATATATATATATATATATATATATATATATACACGTATATAGACATTTCCCAACAGCAGCCTCCATGGCAGCGTAATCCCTGAGTCCTTGGGATAATAGAGTGTGGTGAGACTTTCCTGCTCTGACAAGGGGAAGGTCTTAAGCTTTGCAGCAAGGAGATAAAACAATCTTACACAGTGCCAAAATGATTTAGAAGTCAGGTTGGAAAAGAAAGGCACTAAGACAGAAAGTCAGGATGAAAAAAAAAAAAAAAAAAAAAAAAATATATATATATATATATATATATATATATATATATATATATATCTATATATATATATATATATATATATAAAGGAAAACATGAAGAACTCTCACACCTTTCCACCACTACTACAGATGTCACTCACCTTAACGCACATGCAAAGGCTAAAGCATGGGCGAGGTGTCCAGGCGTGTGCTTGATCTCCTGGGGTGTGCAGCTCTGCTCTGTGTGTGTGTGTGTGCGTGTGTCTGTGTGTCTGCGTGTGTGTAACAGTCACAGCTGACAGGTTCAAGTATCTATTCACTCAGCCGTACAGCCACTGTTCTGCTGGCCTCGGGGGACAATCTAGATGTGCACCAAAGCTTGGCGATAACAAAGCACACCTAACCTCCCTGGGAAATGAATTCTACTGCATGAAGCAGTCTGCTTATCAAGCACCTTCTTTTCCCTTTATCCGAGACGCCCTCCCCTCCCCTCCCCCCGCCGCCTTCCGCTTTGACACCTCTAGTGTACCACCCGGTTAGGTCACTTCAGAAGGGGAGCGAACAGTCGCCGTTCAGCTGAGTTATTGTTAAACACTTAAAATAACAAAACTTGGCACGTCAGAGACAACCTAGACTACTTTATCACCGCTGCGACTTTGTGAATTCTTCCCTTGGTTCCATTTCTTATCGTTTTTGTCCTCTTAAGGGCAGAGGGGATTTCGAACGCAGAGCGACACGGTGGATCCGTTTTGAGCCTTATCGGCTATCGGTGTTTGTTTAAAAAAAAGAAGAGGTGAAAGAAATAGAGACAAGGGAGAGAATCCTAGTGTTGTGTGTGGTAAAATATAAGCTACATGGTACTTACCTGACATCACAGCAGGCCAGTGACCGTCCTTTAACACGCTACTGGTGGCAAGTCAGTAAGTGGAAGACAGTTTCAGCCTCTCAAAAGTGCATTATACCGTAGGATGACAGAGGAAAGGGAACGAAGAGATAGCCAAGAAATAAAAGTACAAAAACATAATTCTGCTGCTCTGCCGCCATCTGTCGCGTTGTTTCAGCTGTGTGGGGGGAAGAGAGGCCGCTCAGCGGAAGATAGACACAGTTAAAGGTGCAACGGATGGATGGGAGGAGGGAGAGATGGACAGATGGGATGAGAAAGGAGACACATGGAGAGATGCTGAGATGGTTTCCAGGTTTTTTTTATCAGGTCAGCAGCTGAGGAAACGGCGACATGTGCGAGCGTGCGATTTGAGAGGCAGAAAATATTTCCCAAGGAGGTAAATATGACACGATTAAAATGCGCAGGAAGGCGCTCGTCGCGGTGCTCGTGTGAGCGCGTTATGTAAAGCTAACGAAACAAGGACGTACTGGCTTGGGACGTCCTCTGCACAAGTTCGTTGGTGAACGCGCCGATGCCTTTGTTAGAGATGGCGGCCAGGGAGAAGGAGTACTCGGTGTTCGCTTTCAGGCCCTCGACGGTGTAAGAGTTCCTCGGCCCGAAGGTCAACTTCTCCTGTGAGAGGAGAACAGAGAGGTGAAGCCATGCCGAGCACCGGGGTTAATCTCTTACATTTCCCCATCGCCCCCCCCCCCCTTTTTTTCACCTCTTTACTTCTGCGACGGTACAAAGTCCACAAAAAAAAAAAAAAAAAGTGAGCAAAAAAGGCTTACCAAACTGCCAAACTTGACAGGCTTGTAGAGAAGCTCGTAGTTGACAATTTTCTCCTTGGTGTACGTGGGCTCCCAGGTCAGCTCAATGCTGGTGTCTGTCACCTTCCCGACTTTAAACTTTCCTGGTTGACCTGGAACTGAGCAGGACCAGACAACACACCCGGTAAGGCCTCAGCACCTTCCAACAGTGCAAACACAAACTATGATCGTTCTTCTGGTAGCTCAAAGTCCTATCAAATAGTTTTTGCACAACAGGAGACGTAGCGGCCTCCACACGTATCAGCACCCGTGCCAACGATGTGCAATGAACTTTAAGAAGATTAATTTTCACCTTGCAGAAATGTTGAAGAACGGGAGCTTTTAAATTTCTATCAATTTATTCAGTGGGAAAAAAAAAAAAAAAAATTCTAATAATAATCACGGGTGGTGCAATTATTGGCACTTTTATGAAAAACCTATAATACCTAAACGAAACGAAAGAAAAATCAACTGAGTTTAGTATTTCGTACAAAATGCTCGACTATTTTTAAGGTGATCAGAGCATATGAAATGACTGTAAAGGCATCTTGTGTTTGCTCCGTTATGTTTTGGTTTCTGATACATTTTGAGTCAAAGTTTCCTCGCATCTCTTGCTTACTGTGCCGTTTTATTTTTGATTCGTCTGATCTTTTAGTTTTTAGATTCGTTATTTCTCCTTTTTATCCTTTTATTTTGATCAGTCTGGTTGTTTATGAAACATTGTATTTTGGTCATACTCATGTTGAGTTGTGTTTTGTTTGGGTTTTTTTTTTTGGCTGTGCTGCAGTTTTTGGTCACTGTGTGTTTAGTTTCTGTTTTGTTGTAGATTCCCTACTTCTCTATTCTCAAGTTTCTCTTCAATAAAGTCTTTGGAAGTTCGTTCTTAGTTTACATTTTTCAGTGTTCTATTATTTTCAGGCTTTCTTCAAAATGGGAAAGACAGTTAGGTAATTTGCTCATAAGAAAACAGGTAATTGCATAAACTTGTCCACATGTGTGGCTAACAAAAAGCGGGAAAAAGACCCAGGTTTATATGGCTGTCATGCAGCGTGAGCATAATGTTAAGAGACGCAAAAAAAATTTCATAGTTTATTGTCAAAGAACGGCATTTCGAGATCACAGAGTTTCCATGGTGACCTTTACATACTCTTTACATGCAAACCAGTTGTTTTGGAGGCATGTTATGGATAAAAAGGCTTTTGTGTCTGACCAGCACGTATGTAAATATGCACAGTTTGCTAAACAATCCTGAGGCTTTAACTTGAACTGATTACTTTGATCGGATGAGACTTGATCTTTCTTTTAAGCTGCAAACACTGCAGGTGTGTCTGGCATGAAACAAATGATGACTGGGGAACGTCTGACAAGCTTCGAGTGCAACACATCATGGAAATACGAAATATCAAAAGATTTTAAATAATAAAAAAAATAAAATAAAATAAAAAATCTGTTGTCTCTGCCAGAAAGCTGTATATCTGTCAGCAGTGGATATTTCAGTAGTAAAATGATATAGAAAGGATTCACCAGATTCTAAGTTAACCTTCTCCCAGTGGCATGAGCCGAAGGAAAAAAAAGCACAAGAGATGATCCGGTACTCTGGATGATTCAGAGATAATGCGCGAAAAGGAGTGATCAAAGATCCTTCCCTCTCTATTCTCTAACCTTGTAAATGTCATAGAAGCAGAATAAGTCCCCTCCTATTGGCAAAAGTCTGTTTTATGAAGTGTTGACATCAGGGACACCAGTGAAGTGTGAAGAGTGCTAGATGAAATGGACTACACCAGAGTGTGCATGCAGTTTTCATGTTTCCATTACATGTAGATAGCGGCACATATGACGCTTACACAAAGTCCGGAAAACATTCAATTCTAAAACTATGGCTAAAAATTGTAATAGCAATATTGACTATGCTTCACCAACGTTTTTCAGACACTGTTCTTTCTTTACCTTTACACAATTTCACCACCACTGAACATATCAATCAGACTTACAGTATGGACAATAAGGACAGTGAGTGTCCATCTTTGCACCTCTATTGACAAACCCAGCTTAGTTCTCGCCTATATCTGCTGGCACCAGTCAGTATATCAGCCAATGCATTCTGGGACCTGGGATTGATTGTGTTTTCGAAATTGAGGCACTTACCTCCACGCAAAACTTTCACATGTACAGGATCTGAAAAGGGGCCGTCGCCTACGGAGGTGAAAGCCAGGACCTGGATGGTGTAAGTCTCCGAGGTCACGAGGTTCTGAATGGTAGTGATCACGCTGTCCTGCACGTTGTGTATCTGCCACTCGTTAATGGCTCGGGATGGGTCCATGGTGTAGTACACACGGTAGCCTTTCACCTGGGAAGGAACAGAGAGAGCAGCAACTTTATTACAGCTATAACTGAGGCCTGTGCTTCAGAATCAGATTTTTAGGTTATCAGGGACAACATTTTATTATTTGGTCTAATCCCTCAGTCACTCCACAACGATAATCCATAATACCGTGTTTTAACAGAGCCAGACTTTACGACGGCTGGGGGTCATCTGGTTTGCTTTACAGCGTTTAGTCCAGACGATATGGTGCTTTACTGTGTGCTTAATGCCATTTTTTTTTTTTTTTTTTTTTTTACAAAGAAATTTTATACAGCAAAGAGGAAAATTGACAAAACCAATGAGCTGATTCTGGCCTTTAAGATGTAATCACTGCACCTCTAGCTGTTTGGGATTTTTGGAAACACAGTAGGTAGGTCAGAGTTTATGTAATCTCTCTGCCATGCCAACTCCCTAAACCTCCAGTTCTCCCACCTCCCCTTTCGCTTACTCTTTATTATCCATAATCCCCATATGCACTCAATTCAGTCTTGTGCTTTTATGAACCCGCTGCTCGGTTAGGTAGGTTTGAAAAAAGGAAATGGGCCTCAAGAGGGAGCACTCTCAACTTAGAGTGGACAGTCCAATTACCCTTTCTTTTTTTAGAGAGCAGGAGAAAGTAGCGAGAGACTTACGGGACCGGAATCTTCGGCAAGACACGGTCCTCGGAAAGCAAGTGAACATGCAAGCTGGACAAAATGCCCGATAAAAAAAATGTGAAATGGGCCTCTTTATTGTTTTAAAATGCAGCTACCTGCAAAACAGCTTCACAGTAAGCAAAAGAAAGACTTTTCTACCAAGACCCACTTCAAATGGTGTAGCATTTTTACCACTATTTTAATCAGGTCGGTTTTCCTTTGTAAGTGCAGCAAATCAATACCAACAGCACAAAACATTCAGGAAATTGTGAATTAACTTCTATGAAGTTGTCTGCAGGAGTCCCACATGGATCTTTCCTTGGAACATTGTTATTTACGCTTTATCTTCCATCTGTAACAATGCATGCAGATTACACTGTGGTTTCTGTGGATGGTGCCAGTAAAATCCAGGTGATGCATGGTTAGATCAGAGCCACTGAGACTTAATGTGAAGCAGTTTGTATGCTGCTGTCTTTTAAAGTCACCATGGTTGGCAGTAGAGCCAAATGATTTTGTGTTTCTGAACTGGAATCAATTCAAAGCTTTAATTTCTTGCTCAACTGGGAAAAAAAAAAAAAATTGTAACAGTGTCAGGTTTAATCTCTGTTAGTTCAGGTCCATATAAAAATGACATAACCATGGATGAAATAGACTGTATGCAGTCAATGATTCTGTCACACATCATTTACTCTCTAACCAGCTTGCCACAAGCCAGTGTTATAAATATTAAAGAAGCACTGTTGCTTTTCTACTTCAAGTATTAGAAACAGGAACTTATATGTAATTTTATAGTCATTTTGACATAGATGAAATGCTTTTAATACTTCTCGATTGACATGTACACACTGAAGTTGCAACACGTTTTAATGGAGACTCAAATACCTTTAGAAATGCAAAAAAAAAAAAAAAAAGTTTTGGCCAATTCTGGTGTATTTAATTTGATAATATCAAACAAATAGTTATAAAGTTAAAAAAAAAACAAAAAAAAAACAGTGTGTGAAGTGCTTCAAAGTTCAAAATGCCCCACCTGTCCATTGGGCTCCTCCGGTTCCTCCCAGCGCACCATCACCGTGTTCTCAGAGATAACTTGGGCCTGCACGTTCCTCGGGGGGCTCGCGGGGGCTTGCTCTCCGGTGCGAGCCTCCACGCGTGCGGACGGCGGCCCCTGGCCGATGCTGTTGAAGGCCGACACCCGTATTTCGTACTCGGTGTTGGGGTAGAGGCCGCCGATGCTGTAGCGGGTGGTGGTGATGCTGTCCACCGTCTCATACTTGCTGTCCGGCCCTTTGGCCCGGTACTGAATGATGTAGTAGGACACGGGGTCGGGATTGCCCGAGTCCCAGGTGATGGTGACGCTGGTCGGTGTGGTCTCTGTGACGATGGGCGTGCCAGGAGGCTTCGGTAAAGCTGCGGATCACGACATAAGCAGATAGACAGGATTATTAGTTATTGCAAACGATTTACTCCATGCTATGCATTATGTATCCTTATTATCGCCATATCTGAAGGCATGACTTTTTTTTTTTAGACATTTAGTGTTTACAATATTTTTATATTGGATAATTTTCCAGCCTGCACACAGTTTAGCCTCTTATGTTGTCTTATATTACAGCTGAAGAAAATCTACAAAATATTTTATTGTAAATTGAAATTTGCTGAAATTAGTACTAAAATCAGTTTAAGCAGGTCGAAAAAAAGGTGAAAAAAAAAGAAGTCGAAAGATTGTCACTGCTGTAATTCTAAATGAAATTAAATCCGAAATTCAAATTCAAGCTTCCTTCAATGCTAACAGCAGACAAAGTAGTTTAATGTGTTGACGACGCTGAAAATCCAAAAGTCCCACAATTAGAAAACATTATTTATACATAACTTGCTGGTATTTTTGGGGTGTGTGATTTCTGGTGAAATCCTCAGAGAATAATAATGACTCATGCTGCACTCAGGGTTTAAACTATTTTTAAGCTCTAATGATACGGTTTCTCAAATTTCTAATTTCAGCAGCATCAACTTGCTCGAGCTTGTAGAGCTGATAAATTAGAGCACATTAATTTTCTTCAGAAAGGCCTCATATAGCTTCAAAAAAAAAAAAAAAAAAAAAAAAAAACATGAAATTGGCTCGTGCTGCTCTTTGGGATGCAGAAAATCAGAAATCTTTAAATCTGCAGGATGTGTACTCGACAAATAAAACACATTCTAAAACAATGCCTGTTTCTCAAAAAAATAAATTACAAATGCAAAATGGTGGGATTCTTACTCTTGACTAAAACCTGAGCAGTGGCCTCAATGATGCCCAGGCTGCTCATGGCCACGCAGGTGTAGTTGGCCGACTCCCGGACGCCGTTGAGCTCCAGCACGTTGCGACCGATGGGCATCTCGTCCTCCGGGGTCAGGTCCTCCATGCCCAACATCCACTTGACGTAAGGCATGGGCGAACCCACGGCCACGCAGGTGATGTTGACGCTCCCCCCGGGCATGATCTCGTGATTGTTGGGTGAGATAGAGAAACGAGGGGGCACGCGGCGCACTGGGAGAGGAAGAGAGCCGGGGTAAAAAGGAAAAAGTGGGTGGGGGGGGTCAGGGGTGGGGAAGGGGGGTACAAAGTGTGAGGCAGAGGAGGAGAAAAGAGGGAAGAGGGGGAGCAAGGAGGGGAAAGGTGGGGAAAAAGAATGAGAAAGAAAGAGCAAAGCAAAGAGCAGGAGATCAAGAGAAAAAGTGAGGGAAGAAGAGATAAAAAAGGAAGATAGAGAGAGAGAGAAAGAGAGAGAGAGAGAGAGAGAGAGAGAGATGAGAAGTAACAGGAAGGGGGAAAATGAACTTCAGGGATTTACAGAAAATTACAAAGGGATATTTCAAGTTTAGTCCCAATTACTTTATGGCACTGATGATTTCAACAAAAAGACACAAATCTTGTGTTAAGCTCAACCGTTCAGAGTGAGCTGCCTACTCAAAATAATATTGTGACAAACTCTTGAGTTTCATTTCAACCAGGACATGACACCTATAGTCAGTTTCTCTTCTCCTGAATAGAATTTGCGCTTCCTTTTTTTTTTCTTTCAGCTGCATTGTTCTCGTTTTATCCCCTCCCCTCCCCTCTCCTCGAAGCCATCCTAAACTTTTTCCGGAGACTTCAGAGAGAAAACTTTACTTGATTGCAATTTCTGTGCCTCGAGGCACTTTGTGCAGCAGATGGGGCTGTTTTTAGATCGAGTATATGCATCACTGAGGGGCCGATCAATAGGGCCCTGACTGCTATTTGTGTCCCCCCTCGCTCCCACCCTGATGTGAGGGAGAACAAGCAAAGTAGCAAAGTTATATGCAATACTACATCTGTCAGAGCTCGCCTGACTACGTATTAGAGGGGAGACGCAGCGAGAGACTGAAGTCATAGGTCACTCGCATGCCTGGGCAACTCAAGAGGAATAAAAAATGGTGGAGGAACACAAAGAAGAGAACGAAGAACTGAAAGAGGAGGACAGAGAGAAGCGAGACAAGACAATATAGAGACAGGTAGAAGCAGAGACACACACGGAGAGAGAGAGAGAGAGAGAAAGAGGGAGCGAGACAGATAGAAAGACAGAGGCAGCTCTGCGTCTCTTCCAGACAATGACAGGCAATGTAGCAAAGGACAGCCACATTGTACAACAAGATACTGTACAATACATAGGATCAATAACTGATAACAGTGTGTCGTCAAAATGAGTTGGAAATGTGGACAGAGAGTGGGTCGAAAGGGTCCGAAAAAGGTGCTGTGATCGTTGGAGACATTAAGTAAAGAACACCAAGACAGCATGAAAGAGTGCGAGCAAAAAGAGAGAGAGAGAGAGAGATATGTGAGGTAGTATGTGCATGTTTATAAGTTAATAAACTTATGTACATGAGTCTGAAGCTCCTACACATCAGGGCGCGGACAGAATGGAGAGGAAGAAGAGAGAAAAGGAGGAGGGGGAAAAAAGACAGGGGGCAGGGGGGGTGGAGATAAAGAGAGGATTAGAG